TTTTTTTTTTTTTTTTTTTTTTTTTTTGCCTCTTGGTAGTGAAAAATATTTTTAAAACCTTGGTTTCCATTTGCAGTGTATGAAATGAAAGCTGAAAATAGTAGTGGAAATATTTTTAAGCAAAAGCCCTTATTTTAGTCTCATGACTAATGGGAAATAAAACAGATTAAGGACGACATTACAAAATGGAAGAAGCGAGAGAGCCCAGATGCCTTTGATGGAAGTGTAGCTCACTGCACTGAATTATGTACTATTTAATGGGTTTGTGTTGGATATGCAAATTCACTTTAGAGTTTCTCCAAATAAGAAGCTTCTCCATGATCAGAACTTGTCTAAGAAGCACATGTAAATGGATATATATATATGTATGTATTTCAATATTTAATGTTTCTTTATGTACTTCAAGAACTAGATACACCTACCAACCCTATAATAATTTCTAAGAAGACACTGACTCCACAGGCTCACCTCTTCCCAGGCCCTGAATACCCCTCTTTCTCAGTATTTGATACTCTCATCCCTGGATGGAAAGGGCTGAGAGTCAGTTGTTCAGGGAGTTGTCAGCAGGTACAGAAGGTAAGTCCACAGCTGGCTCCTGGGGGACTGTACTGCTGACAAGACATTTCCAGAAAGGAAAATTTTAAGGTGTGTGTTAAATTTTTAGGAGAAGAGGCAACTCATCGAAGTCACCAAACCAAAGAGTTGATTGTGAAAAGCTCAGGCTCACAGGCTCTGCCAAGGGGACAGGGCCTGAGAGACCACCCTAGGGTGACCGAAGCCCCTTCCCGGGTACAGACTGCAGTGGTCAGGTGGGCTGTGGATTTGGCCCCTGTGCGCTGGCTTCTGCTGACCCCTCGCCTTGCCCTCTGGACAGGTGTGGTCTTCCCTTACTTCCCAAGACTGGGGCGCTACAACCTGAACTTCCACGAGGCGAGGCAGGCCTGCCTGGCCCAGGACGCCGTGATAGCCTCTTTTGACCAGCTCTACGAGGCCTGGCGCGGCGGGCTGGACTGGTGCAACGCAGGCTGGCTGAGCGACGGCTCGGTGCAATACCCCATCACCAGGCCCCGCGAGCCCTGCGGGGGCCAGAACACTGTACCCGGCGTCCGCAACTACGGCTTCTGGGACAAGAACAAGAGCAGATACGATGTGTTCTGCTTCACCTCCAACTTCAATGGTGAGATGAACCTGCACGGGCAGCTTCCTACCCGGGCCACTGCATGGTGCATTGCACTCGGCTTTGACACTTGTCTCCTAAAAGAGGCAAAGCCTGCAAGCACTGCTCTAGTTAGAAGCACCATAAAAATTTCTTCATGGCATAGTTTTAGAACTGTCTGCATAAATCGAGCAAAAAGTGACTATTTCCAATACTTGGGTTCAAGAGCATCCAAACTTTATTCTGAAATAGCTGAAACTGTCATGAGGTATGGGAGCTGTTGGTAGTGAGTTTTGGTTTGGGTTTTCATTTTGGGTTTTTTGTTTTTTGAGACAAAATCTTGCTAATTCACTAACTTGCCCAGGTTGGGCTTGAACTTGTGATTCTACTGCCTCCACCTCCCAAAGTACTAGGATCACAGGTGTACACCATCACACAAGGCAGAACCAGCCACCTGATTTGTGAAACCCAGTACAAAAGAAAATATGAGTTAAGAATCTTAAGATGGTAACTGAGATCATGAAACCAAGCATGAGGCCTTTCTAACTATAGGCTGAGGGACTACATAGGTCTCACACCCAGGAAGCAAGGCCTGACCCCTTCATAGCACATTTCAGGAAGCAGGTGACATAACTTTTGGGAAAATGGAAGGGAATCGGGAGTCAACAAACTTCCTCTGTAAAGAGCTGGGTAGGGAATATTTTTGGCTTTGTTGCTTCTGTGTATGTCAGAGCACAAGAGCAGCTGTGCCAGTAAAAGCTCACCCTCGGGCCAGATGGGAGGCAGGTTCCACAGTTTGCCGACCTCTGGAGTAGAGCAGAGAACTCCCCCTCTGTTTCTTTCCCCATTTACATCATCTGAGTCCAGAGAGAACCAAAAGGACTAATTTATATTTGAATAACATTGCATCCCAATGTGCAATCAGATGAGAGACTCTGGGTGTATTCTACCTGAAATTAAGAAAATCTTCAGTCACCGTTATCAGTGCAGTCAGTGCATTTCTCCTGCACACTAACAGGATCTCAGTAATTGATGCTATGCAGTAAGTGGTGAAGCCTAACTTGTTTTTCTTGTGAACTCAAGACCTGGAAGGGTGTCAGGGATCAAAGGGTGGGAGTTCAAAACAATCTACAAATTAATCTGCTTTGATAGCGAGGATGATGGACTGGGTTTGCATTCTGAGTCTGTATCATTTGTAGCAAGGGCCTTCCTGCATTTTATGCATTTTCATACTGTAGTCTTTGAATGAGAATAATGTCTTATTGATACCTGAAGTGAAAAAGACTGGAGAGCTTTTGATGTTTTTTAAATGGACTTTCAGGTCAGGAATGCTTTTTGATCCTTTCACATTCAAATTGTGCCTCTCCAAAAACTTGTGCTGGGCTTCAGGCCTGCTCCAGCTAGAATTTCAATAGCCTTTGCTTTCACCATGCAATTGTCTCCCCCACCACTACCACAGAAGGGCTTTTGAAAATGGCTAATTAGCTAGCAGGAATTGCATCTTCCATTCCCATTTCGCTGCTAACGCTTAAACGAGCATGTGTGAACACATACGAAGGGGCAAGTAGAAGAAAAACCAGAAAACACACATACAGACACAGACACACGCACCGAATTTCAGGGAGAGAGACTCAGGCACGTTCGGTCCGGCTCCCTCTCTGTGGCTGGGTCCCAGATGGTCTGTCCTTCTCTCCTCCTGCAGGCCGGTTTTACTACCTGATCCACCCCACCAAGCTCACCTACGACGAAGCGGTGCAAGCCTGTGTCAACGACGGTGCTCAGATCGCCAAGGTGGGCCAGATCTTCGCGGCCTGGAAGCTCCTGGGCTATGACCGCTGCGACGCCGGCTGGCTGGCCGATGGCAGCGTGCGCTACCCTATCTCCCGGCCCCGGCGGCGCTGCAGCCCCACAGAGGCCGCTGTGCGCCTCGTGGGCTTCCCGGATAAGAAGCACAAGCTGTTCGGCGTCTACTGCTTCCGGGCCTACGACTGAGGCCTGGCCACCCAGGCACTGAACATGTGAGGGGTGTTGCTTTGTGTTTTTCAATATGAACTCATGCAAGTTACCAAAACTGTGACAACCCTTTTTTTACTGTAAAGAGTCATTTTCATACAGACCGATTCATTAGTTTGTCCTTTGTAAAGCTAGCCCTCCATATCTATGACAAATTAATATAATTTAAGGGAAGCCCGGCGTCGGGAGGCTTCAGGGCCAGGCCGGGTCCCCCCTGGTTTCCTCTCACGAATCCTCAGCTCAGTTCAGACTCCCAGGACCCACAGGGACTCGACTTCTCAGAGAAACAGCTTCCGTGAGCACAGATTTTACGCGTTTGTACAATTCTGATGAGCAAAGTACAGCAACCGATCTATAGTGCGGGCTGTTCTGTGCAAACGGCTCCAAGGGGCTGCACAGAACTCACTTTCAGGAGGGAGCAGCCCACAGCGTTCTCGAGGCCACTACTTGGTCTCCAGCAACGAAAAACCCACATGGGCTCACGTACACAGTAATGAGCGCAGGACACCCTCCTTCGTAACCCCATTTACACGAGGCTTAGATGAGCAGTAATCCTTAACTCCAGCCTTCTTCTGATCAAAATTACCCAAGTGTCTGAGAGGAACCATTTTACCTTTTGAGTAGAATTACTGAGTTCTATTTAAATTCTATGAGCCCTTTGCTAGGCTGCATTTCGCATCCACGCAGGGCAGTTATATAGATAAACTGCTGGACAGAAAAATTGTAAAATTTAGCAGCTTGATTTTATGTTAGCCTATGAAACGTTATTGTCCTATAAAGATAACTTTGAGCTATTTAATATCTGTCTTTATTTACATGACATGAAAGAATGAATACCCATACTCTCGCCTAACCAATGAATAAAGACCCAACCTTTGAAATTCTTACTGCTATTTGTACATACACTAGGAAGCCCAAATGGTACCTGTGTTTGGGGACAAAGTCAGCAACGTGGTCCTGAAGCTTCCCAGAATTCGCAGACATACTCAGTGTCTTGGGCCATGCTGGTCATCATCAGGCGTGAATGAAATGTTGACACTATCATAAAAGAGTTTACACTAAAATCTTCAGGGCTTTAAAGGAAATCCAAGTCCAGCTCCAGAAAAACAACTTCTCATTTAGCAGCTCCAATCTCAAATAAATCTCTCTTTTCCTATATTTTTATGACTGTTGAGATCCCACAGGGACCAATATTTGTATTCAAATTACATTTCATGGTTTCCCATTGTTTCACAGTGATTTCTAATAAATGGGACTTATTATAATAACCTAGGGAGGATATAGCTGATATGCTTTCATGAATGTTTTTATGTAGATTTTTCTCCCATAAACATGAGTAAATAAATTTGTTTCTTGAATTAATTGTGGTTGCATTTAAAGCTCTGTAATAATCCTAATGAATTTATAAATATAGAGTTATATATGTGGAAAGTATAGAGCAATTTGGAGTCCAAGAAACCATAACTATATTCATATATTAGCTAGTTGAAATATTGTAAATAAAAGTAGATTCTTGGATCAAAAGCATCTCTGGAAATTTTCAGATGCTTTAATACTAAAAGATGACAATTGTATGCATGTACGTTTTAAAGTTAGACCAGGTATGCAAATTATATGAATCTATAGATCCAAAGAGATTATGAGGCTTAATTCAAATATGGCTAGTTTAAATAGAGCCCACACTTCTGAATTAAAGATACCTAAGTGGTCTAGGATAAGAGGAATGTATTATTTAAAAAGGGGACTATCTCCAAAATAGAAACCCCCGCACTTCAAATAAAAGTGGGGGTTAGCTCATTGGGGGAAGCCCATACTTGAACAATTATTGCCTATATTATAAGAATTTTATTAGATATGAAAATGAGAAAAAAAATTTCTATTGAAGCAAGTATGTAACTTTGAGTTATTGTCATGGAACTCTGCCTTTATAATATTAAGTGTAGTATGATTTCTTAACTTTTGAATACTTATTAGTACAGAATTTGGTGCTGATCTAAATCTCTGGAGTGACTGTTAGCTGAGGAAAATCTATACCAATTGCACACCATTTTTCCATTCTTGAAAAAAAATCTTAACAACAAATATTGCTGAACATAATTTTTATCTTCCGATTTCACCCATAGAATCAAATTCCTCATACTCTTTCAACTCCTAATTGAAGGAGTCATTTTACTGTTGTCATTGTGCTGTATTCCCAACAAAACAAATGTCTGTTTGCCTACTTCATTGCCCAATTATCTCACAGAGAATGTCTGAAAAAGAAAAGTTGTCAGCCCAGCTCATAACAGAAAGTTGATATAATAGCAGCTGATCCAGAAATTGGCTTTTACACTCGATTCCAAGAATATCAGAGGAATGGAATGGAAGGCTGGGTTACAAAATCTTGTTTTCACCATTTTGTCCATAATTAACTTTTGCGACCAATATAAAGAATGAAGCATATCTAGGAATTTCAGAGACAGCTACATTTAAAAACCCAAACCAAAAGAAGCAATGCATATAAAAACAGGCCAGGAATGAAAACACATTGCCACATTAACACTGGAAGCCATCTTTGAGTGACTGATGTCATATTTTATCACAGTAATTTTTAGCCAAATATGGTATTTGTAAATTTCAACTTTCTTTCATAGAAAGGGGGCCGGTACCTGTTAAAAGTGTTATTTTACGCAATAATATAGTCGCTTATTATTTTGGCAATTAGAAGTAGACTCAAGGAGATTACAGTTTGGTTGCTGGCAGCCAGACTGTATATTTTGATATCAGCACTCCTAGGACCGTGGTGGTTCCCTGGAGTAGTGGGCCACTGAGGAGAACAGGACTAACAGGGCATCTGTGATCTGCTGTAGTGAGAACACACAGAGAAAGGTCAATGGATAGCTGACATCGTTTTGTAGAGAAGTTAACTTTGCCACAGTTTACTACTCCCACAGAAATAATGGTGTGCAACAGAAGGAATAAATCAGACATCATTAAGCTGCCTGATAAAAACAAGTCTACATTTAAAGGCAATTAACACCTACTAAGTACAAATTGGAGAAGAACCAATCTGTATTACAAAAAATGTTTTCATTTTCTGTAAGATAATAATGAAATGGTAAACATTAAAAGTCAATTTTATGTCACTGCAATATCTTCTGATTTTTTGAGTCGTAGAATTTGCTATTTTTCTTTGTGTCCAACCCTGTCATAGGACTGTTTCAAGAAAACACATTGAATTTATTCTTGTTTTGTTATATTTGAGTTGAAAATGTAAATGCATTAGCTATTTCCATGTCCTAGCATTTTTGCAAAGTTAAAAAAAAAGGAGTAGGGCTAGGGATTTAGCTCAGTGGTTCCGGTGCCTGCCTCGCAAGTGCAAGGACCCTAGTTCTATACCTGGTAACAAAAAGAAAGAAAGAGAGAGAGAGAGAGAGAGAGAGAGAGAGAGAGAGAGAGAGAGAGAAGTGTGACCTATGGTATTATAATTATAATCAGTTGGCTTTTTCTTTATACAATTCAGATCACTACTTTGCTCACAAAGTGAACAATCTCAGAAATCTGTGGTGCATTGATTAAACTAATATAGTTGAGATACTTTATGGCATCAATCATGAGTATTGAATTAAAAGTTTTTATTTCCATGGTTGAAGACTTTTCTCCGCCACTTTACAATCCACAATAGCAAGAAGCATATGTTCTAGTGGTTCTATCCCTACCTTGAATTTCCAACATTAAGAGTAGTTGTGGATTTTCCGGGTACATACATAAAAACGGATTCTAGGGTGCAAGGGTCTATTGTTGGTGCAATCCTTGAATGAAAGCACACCCGAGTTTTAGTCACTGACATTTAAACAAAACAGTGTACTTCCTTTTGGAATATATTGCACAGCCTCAGAGAAGAGAAAAGTTCCGAGAGTAATATCAACTAAAACCACCTTGAAGTGTGTAAGTTCTTGCAAAGGCAGGGGACTTTGTGTTCACTTTGGCAGCAATTTTCATGTAATTGTACAGCCTGGTCACATCCAGAACTAGCTTGGCAGTAATACTGGAGGATCTAATGGAGCTTCATGATGACACTTCCATAAAAGCAAGCTAAACTCTTCAGATGTGAGGCCCTCAGTTTGCTGTGGTGACAAAGCATAACACTAGACCACTCTTGAGCAGAACTGAGCCTGTGCTCAATCATCAGATATGTAAGGAAAGTAATAAAAGTAAAAGGTTATTGGGGAGCTTGAAGGAGAAAATCAACTGAAAAGAAACTGACAAGCTATTTCCTCTCCTACCTCAGCACCTCAGGCGCTGCCTTCACTGTACTCAAAAGCCCTGCCGTCTTTGCCCTTCCACAGTGATACACACAGGAGCCTAACACACTGGATTCTCAGGGAGAAAAATTCCTTGCACACATTTTTTTTTACACTAAGGAGCAAGCAAAGTTTGTTCATTTTCTTTGTCTTTCTTTCGGACCAGTAAATGTGGCCACTTACCACGTAACATCTAAAATACCTTGGGCAGCCCGGGGTGGAATTCCAGGTCTTGGGAAATCAAGCTCGTCCCCATTCAGGTTTGTGCTCTCTCTTCTGCTCGCTGGGCTGTGCAGCCTCTCATGTCTACTATTCAGATTTGGCCTTTTACTCAGTTGGCCTCTGCCTGCAGCCTGAGGTCCGTTCATTGAAGAAAAAGGTTCCCCGAGATACAGAGAAAGCTCCGATTTTCCAACACCTAGCAATGAAACTGTGCATTCCAACAGCAAATGTAAGACCCTTGCATGATAACAGTTCTCAGAAAATCATCTCTCAGTACTTTTCTTTCTAGGAAAGCACCTACTCCCCAGATCTTCATCCCACGTGAAATATTTGCAGTTTATTTTCTTATTTTTTTAATGCTTTTCTCTTTGACTTTCATCAATGGAAATTCTTCGTGCAAGAATCATGTTCACACAAGGAGGAAAGAAAGATAAAACGCAAGTAAGTTTGAGATTTTAGAGATTGAAAGCCCTTGTAGATGCTGGGTTTAGACACATGTGACTAAAAAAAGCTGCAAAACCACGAGGGTTTATTATTATGATAAATAAGCATATTTTCACATAGCCATTCCTGTGATCAGAGAGAGAGAGAGAGAGAGAAATCGGATCTTGCTGTGCTCAAATGCTGCCAAGCTGAATTTTATGATAAATAAGCATATTTTCACATAGCCATTCCTGTGATCAGAGAGAGAGAGAGAGAGAGAGAGAGAGAAATCGGATCTTGCTGTGCTCAAATGCTGCCAAGCTGAACGTCACAGCTCGCACCAGAAGACACTTGCCATAAACATGCAGTAATGTGCTAGAGGAGTTAGGCCCAGTTTATCAGAATCATCCTGGAAGCTTTAGAAAAACACCTAGTTCTGGCCGCTCCTCCAAAATCACAGTCAAGGAAGGAACTGGACAGGAGGATCTGACAGCACTTCCCCTGAGGGAGGGTCACTGGTCTTAATGACTTAGGAGAGCAGCAATTGCCTTTCTGTTCCAGATGAGCTGACTGGGGGGCAGGGATTTAGCTCTGTGGTGCAGCCAACTGCCTTAGGGACTGGAGTTAGATCCCAGGTCCAAGAACAAAACAGAACAAAACGTAGATGAGCAGGCTGATGTTTATAACTCCCAAGGTCAAATTATTTTTATTTATTTTTTTTCCAAATTATTTTTAAAAGTTGAGCAACTTGTTTGCATTTGATTGCACTCTGAAGGTAATTGAGAAAACACAAATCCTTTAACTTGCTTTCTCCTCACGATGTGATGGTTCCCCTTATTTTAGCAAATATGTCTCTAAAAAGCTATTTATCTGTCCTTACTGTTGACCCTCAAGTTTTATAAAAACTGCTAAAACCATTTCTATGCTATTCTGGCATCAAATTTTTCATTTAAAGTCCTAAAATAGGTAGGATCCAACAATAATGATGTAAAATATCCAAGGTATAAATATCCAAACAGCGCATTGATATTACAGTATTATCTCAAAAGAAGATATGTGTCCACTGTGAGCTTCATAATGTAAACATAGGGCCTCTAACAACAACAACAACAACAAAAAGCCAACATAATGTTAGCAAGAGAAAAGAAGAAAATTGAGAAAAAGGAATCTAAATGAAAGATTTTAGAAGAAAAGGAATTCTATCCCTGTCTTCAGTAAAGATTGATGGCTTGATTCGAGCAGTTTCCCAACTACCAGAAACAACTGCCTATTTTTTTAATTGTGCATATTTAAAGAGATAAATACTGTGGCTTTATCAAAACATCTTTATTTTATG